TAAAATTTTAAAACAGGCATATAACTTATAAACAAATCATGGGTTTATAAAGAGAGTGTCACCTTCTTTAGTAGCTTCTTCACATCTTTGCTGGTATTTGCTAGACAGGTCTGAATCCAATGCTTTACATAACTGATCATACTTTTTTTCTGCTTCGGTTATAAATTTTGCCTATAGAACACGAAATAATTTGGTTAAAACATATAAATGGTAGTTTTCTGGTGGTGTAAGTTTTTGCCGTAAAGCACTCACCAACATGATTGGTGCTGCAGAAGCTCCATAACATTTGACAAACATGCGCAGAGTATTAAAATTGTTCTCCACAATATCGTCCTATGGAAAAAAGTGAACTTTTAACAAGGATGTATTAGACTAGCAAGAAAGATAAAATTAATTAAATCCAACGTGAAAAAAGAAAATAAGAGGAAAAGAGAAACAAAGGAGTTAATAGAGGCTCACCTCATAATCAAACCTGCAGCACAATTATGATTATTTATCAGCGAAATAATTTATGTGTCCAAATGCAAAATGAATTTGAAATGGGAAGTTTTCATAAATATTTGCAAGTTATACGCAACATGTAATGATAAGAGTTTGGCGTAAATTGAGCAAGATAAATAACAACCGATATTTTATTATTCGTAAAACGCATTTTTTGGAGTCGGGCAGGTCAACCCGTCAAATATTTTTAACAAAAACTGCATACTTATGCTGTAAAATGCATACATTTATCTATGTTGTTTTTATGGAGAATGACATTTCATTTTGAAGGTATGATATCTATTGAAAAAGTAAAAGTAGTTAAAGAACTATTCAAGGAAAAAAAAAAGAAAAAAAAAACCGTTAGTCAGCCTAATTGTTCAGAAAATAGCCATCCAAACATCAAAAGATTTATTCAAGAAATAAAAGAAATGCAATTTTAAGCCTCCTCGTGGTTTCAATTTCAATTTCCGAGCTAAAATACATTAATACAAAATTTAATAATTCCTCAAATGACTAATACTATATACAAGAGTACACCTACTTCTCATATTAAAGGACATACATACATACAAGTTGTCGAGAATAAGAATTGCTTACAGATCATCAGATATTTCCACAAGCAATTCTGAGATCGACAGGAACTCCATATGCAATTCTTTCACCTAGCTTCAAAGAAATCCCAGTAAACTATATCATATCACAATGCAACATAAATATTCTATGGGGACATTGTAGGCTGACGACTTAGTATTTAACAAAAGACTTTATTTCTTTTCTCCATACTAAAACGAATAAACTAGTTATATTCTGATATTTGTTACGAGGGATGACATATACAGTGCGTAATGAAATAAAATATTCAAGAGCATAAGCACTAAATAAAACTTCCTTGCAGCAAATAACTTTGTCTTCATATTATTTAACAAAAGAATGAATAAATCACTGAAAAGAAAGAACACAACGACATGAAATAGCATAGAATATTGAGTAGTGTTTAATAAGATACCTTTTCTCCCCTTAGTTGGTATAATAGAAGGTTCAGCACTCGATAATCAAATGATTTCAGATGGATGGCCCTCTTCACATCCTCAATGCATACCTACACCGTTTTCAATAAGCATAAACCAATCACACATAATAAATAAAAAAAATGGGAATGCGTGAAAAGAAAATATATGCGTAAGACTTCATACATCAGTGACATAACAAAAAACAATGATGGAGAATTTTGTTGCTATACCTCATTAGTTTGTAGTTATTTTACTACTAAATTATTTTCTCGTTATAAATGGTTATATCTACTTGATCAACAAATGAGAGTTCACTAACAAATCTGGAACCGTTGCATTTTTTTTCCGACTGAACAGTAGTGATTACATGGAAAATGAGAAGTATTTGAAATTAAGTGAAGTAAGATGATACCTCCTTGTTGCTCGCCAGTGCCCAGCATAGCTTTCTCTCCAGAGCCCAATATTCTTCCCCGTACCTAAACTCTTCTGTAATCCTAAAATTTATAGAGCAAATAAAAAAAATAAAAAATAAAAACTTGCTCAGGATGTCGAAATTTCCATTGTGTGGGGAAGTATAAATTCATTAAAAAAGGAAAAATATGAAAAATACACGAGAAGCGATATATGAACCTCTCAGTCAGAAGCCCTCGCTGTTCTAGTACATAAAGGAGTGGTCTAAAGGGATCCTTTTGAAACATTCTTACAGATTTAGCACCAAGCTTTGAATTGTCATCCTGTATTTCAGTGGAAATTGGAAATCCATCCCCTGTCAACTGAACTAGTTCCTCGTTTAAGCCATCCAACTGTACCACCGAAAATTATGTCAAAAATGAGGATACAAGAATGAATTACAATCTGGTATCACATTACATGTTGGTCTAAAGAAAGTATAATAGAAACTAGAATTTACAAATGAAAATGATTGTGTTTCATGAAATGGAACACATACATTTCTTACTAAACAACGCCTTTTAAATGTTGTCAACAAAAAAGCAGATGCGAGAAAAGGGGACTCTTCAAGAAAATTTACCTGATATATGTAACTCTCTGTGAATGAAAGGATAGGCAGATATTTGAATACTGATTGAGGCCGGTTCACTTCCATTTTGTGAAACATAAAATAAGACCTGCACTGTTCAGCTACATATCAGCATCAATTGATGGTGATGCCTTTTCTTGAACAAAGCTTTCTCAACCAACCAAGATTAGACATATATAATGCGCAGTTAGAAACATAAAACAAAATCTCACTATAAATCTCCCAGACAAATCAAAATATGTCTTACAAAATCCTCTAGCGTTGAATTCGAACGCATCATTGCTTCAATCCCAATCATGGCAACACCATCACAGAAACTCAGAGAGGAATTTATGTTTGTTTTCTTGTCACCACAAACTTGTAAAGCAAAATTTTCATTCTGTTTGCAAGCTGCAAAACCACAGGATTCAGAAGCAAGATGAAGCAGAAGCAGATCTTTCGATGTTCACTATTAAACATGACAAGCCGCCCATCACGAATGAATCATGGAAGGACTTAATTATGCTCCTTGTATTTTCGATTAACAACTTATTGTAACTAAAATGTATCTTAAAAACATTGATGAAGGCATCCCACAACACCCAAGTACCTTTTCCTTCGGATTGCAGTGCATCCTCGGTCAACATACTCGCTATCTTGCGGTGAGAAGAAGAAAAGGGCACAAAGCAAAAGGGTCAGATGGCCTTGAGATCACACAAAAATGTAAGCAAAGTGAAGAAAAATCAAACCTTTGACATGTGTTGGGAAATCAATTGGCATTTCAAGGAGATGTCGACCTCACCACAAGGTTGCGTCTGCAGCCCATTTGTATTGAATCACAGAATGAAGCGATTAACAGTTTGAAATGAATAAAAAAAGCACAGAGGAAACAAAAATGAGGGAAAATACATTAGAATGCGTGCAAGAAAAATGAAGAACATAAGGAAAGAGAAATGGTTACGAGGAAGAAGGTGAAATCAACGAGAAAGCGCTCGCAATTGGGATTGGCATCGGAAACTCCAGCTGAGTGCAGCTTATCAAGCGTCCGGTGGACTTGTTCCAGCTTCTCTAGCCCTTCCATTTCTATTGCAGCCATTATTGTGTGCAACTGTGCAAATGAACACGATAAGAAAGCATGTTGGGAAAACCGTACCGTAATCGGTAAAGTTACTGGTTCAATGGTTTACTGGACGAACCACTCGACTAGTGGTTCGAATTGGTTGAACCGTTTTAATTAATATATAATTTTTTTATTAATTTTATATGTATAATATAAATTATATATATTTTTATCATTAATTTTAAAAATTTTACAGAGTATGACATTTCTTTAAATAATAACTCCATAATAATACAACGAACAATGTTGATTAATGTTTATAACTTTTTATTTTATTTTATTTTTTATATTTATAGTTTTAATGTATATTTAAATTACTAAATAGAAATAATAGAAACAACTCTATTTTCATTTTAAAGCACATTTTAAATTTTTTATTATTAATTAAAAAATTTAAAAATAAAAATAATGTACATAACAAATAACAATAATTTGCTTATTTTTTTTAAATAGATTTAGAATAGATATAACCCAATAGATAGTCCAATTTAAAAAAATAGTATATTTTTTTAATGAGTACAATATTTCATGAGTAATGCTACAAGTACATAATGGTGTACATAAAGGTGTACATAGCACTCACATGAAGTAGGGTCCACTTGAATTTTTTTAGTGGGTCCCACTCAATGTGAGTGTTATGTATACCATTATGTACACCATTATGTACTTGTAGCATTATTCATATTTCACATTGGAAACACAAGTAAAAGGTGTATTATTTAAATCACTTCACAATCAACCAATTTCAAATTAAAATACTTGATTCGTTAAACCATTCGAACCGACCCCAGTCCACAGGTTCAACCGTTTTGGACCAGTTAGAATGGTTTTTGACCGGTTCAAACGTTGGGCGGTTTGATGGAGCAAACAGGACCGGAATGAAGGTTGCTTCTCAGTTCAACAGGCTGGTCCGGTCCGTTTTTTAAAACCATGAAAAAAGTATCGTTCCCCTTCTAAAAGAAGTATTTTTTTATTATTATTACTAAAGGGCTTCAGATGTGCCTAGCACAGCGGATATAATCCAGTTGTGGGTCTTTAAAAATTTGTTACCTAACAATTTTGTGTGACAATAATGCTTCATGGTAATGCTATATGAGTATGAACACAAGTTAAACTGTTTTCATAATGCTACTGACCAAAATATAGGTTTACATTAATAAGACATATTAATATCCAACGATTATATTTACATGCATTGAGTCCAAAAGAGGGCTTGAACATGTTTCCTTATATAGACACACCATCCAAAAGTAGCATAATACGATCGGATGCAGTTTATATTAGAAATTCACATTCTCATTAAGATCATGAGAAGTATGAAATCCTAACATATTCACAAAATGGTTGGGAGCTTGCACATAGGTATATGTACAATACATTAGAGTTTGTTAACCTTTTAGCTAGCGAGGAGGTTACTAAATCCTAACGTATTTCAAAACAACAGGATGTCTGTGCGGTATCGTGTTGTTTCGTTTGTTTTTCAGTAGACTACTCTGTGGATAGTGTAAACTCGGATCCGGTGTCTTTGGAGTTATCTTCAAATTTGAAAATTCGTTTTGCACTTTCTTTTGATGAACTTGGTGAACTTATGTGCAATTTTTTGTTAATGAGTGACTGAAGCATTGTTTTTTTTTTTTTGTTTATTTATTTATTTATTTATTTTGTTTGGTGTAAAGATTTGTGTATCCACTTCTAGAACTTAGAGAATCAAAATTGCTTGTCTCTGTTTCACCACTAAGTGCAACATCTCCTAAGGATTTAATACACAAAGAACATGGTGGTTAGTATATATAATCTTCATCTCTTTAAGGTTTTTAATAAAATTGTGTTTGTGCTAATGTATGCAATTAATTTGTTTGACAGCAACGGCTGGAGACATTGATAACCCAAATTTTGTTTCCTTAAGGGAATATTACGCATACAAATTTCAAATAAGAGCCAATGATCAATCTTTGTTACTTAATTTTGGAAGACTTCTCCAACAGTATATAGTAGACATGTATGTAAAAATTGAATCACAGCGCCCAGATTTTTACCAACTCCGACAAATAGAAATAAGAACTGAATTTTTACGAAGGCATTCAGGATTCATTAACAAGTGGTGAAACAGAAGCATCTAAAATAGGTCAAAGAATATTTTTGCCGTCCGACTTTATAGGAGGCCCAAGGAACATGAAAAGAAGTTCAAAATCGTCCTGATTTAATATCAAGAGTCTTTCATGCTAAGCTTGAGGTAGTTAAAACAGATCTCTTGAAAAAAAATATTTTTGGTCAAGTGGCTGCAAGCCTGCAACCAACTACTGAGAACCATGAGATCATATACTTGTCAACATGTTGAGCAACCGAGGCCTCGCTAGTTAAGAGTAGCTTCATCCATTCACTTGTGGCGCAAGGATGCAAAATGTACATACACCCTATTATTTTACTATGTCAGAAGGGAAGAAAAAAGTGTCACAAATATTACCAAAGCACAATAAGCAGCTACAGACTCTAAGAAAAACTACCACAGCCAATGACACAGGTTAATAAAAGGTAAGGTATCAAAACCTTATATCTCAGTAGGAAGTTTCAGTCCAAACACCTGCCCAACTACTGAGAACCATGAGATCATATACTTGTCAACATGTTGAGCAACCGAGGCCTTGCTAGTTAAGAGTAGCTTCATCCATTCACTTGTGGCGCAAGGATGCAACATGTACCACGGTCGATTCAATTCAGGATGTTCCTATATTTGACGCCCCAGTTTGCCTCAATTCAACCAAATCAACGTTATATGAAATTACACAAAAAAAGTAGCAAGTAAACTGGCATTTATCGTGCACACCACATGTTAATGGGTCAATGTGATGTTTTTAGAAGAGGGAAAATGTTTCTTGCTGAGCAGATTATATTGAAAAAAATTGACGACTGTTGACAAGATACATTCCAAATGTGTAAAGCGTGTGTGCCTCGGAAAGCTGGAAAACAAAGATGAAACACACGGAAAAGAAAAAGAAAATTTGAAGTTGACTTGAGGGGCAAAGAGAAATTAACCTCCTGAGTCATAAATGTCCATTTGGATTGAGCTAGCATCTGCGCTGAGTTAACTGGGAGATCTTTCTCAATCTCATTCAAATGTAGAGGCTGCCCATCTGAGAATTTCACATGTAAATTTGATTACAGTAAAATCATTTTAGCTTATCCAGAATTCAGTTTTGTTGTACAAAAGATCAAGAGTTTAATTGCCTTCGCAATAAGCCCGGAAATATAGCATCGGAACCCTATAAGAAGCACTATAAACAACATGGAGGTCATAGCAGTGTATTCCTGGACCTCCATTATGAACCTGCACAAACCAAAATAAAAATAAATGCAGGGAGCAAAATGACATATTCGAATGCTATTACATAAAGTATAAATAACTCAAAGAAATCAATCCAAGTGATTTTTTTTTGGGATCATATAAAGTATACAATGCAGATGTATACTAACATTAATGGGGAGGGAGAAATAATAATGTATCTAGCAAGCCGCCAATTTTCATTGAGTGTCATATGCTACCAAGAAAAATGGGAAAAAGTTACTCAGAACCATCCCTCCCTATATATAACTGATGCTTCGGAGGTCGATGTAAATCTGGACTTCCATTCATCCATACCTATTAGGAATTTTAATATTATAAAATACTTAATTAACTTAAATTATAAATATATTAAAAGTTGTTAACTTTTTTATTCGTTATCATTTTTCCATATGTAATATATAAAATTAAACATCTCTTGACAAGCTTCAATTTGATATCCATATTGCACAAATACAATAATATACAGTTATACTTATCTTTAATATAAAAATAAAATTATCTAGTAATACTAACTGAAAATTAATAAGATTATATATCAGTTAAAAGATTACCTACAAAGTTACTACATATGAACTAAAAATTCATTATAATATTATAAGGATAAATTGTTTAAGTGATGAGCGTCATTTTAAATAAAAATAATAATGCAATTTTTTTAACTAGCACTAGTGTAATCCACAGGTGGTGTACTAATATCCAACTTAAATAAAGTTAAAAACGAAAACTTTATTATGCACCTGATTTAGTGTCATTACAAAGCCAACATAGACAATGTATCACGTAATATTGAACGTTTTCCAATGAGACGATGTCAGCAGCTATTTGATGAACCTCATAAGATCATTACAGGTATAGATGCAGAGTTGTTGCCTAACGTAGCAGATATAAGTTTCAAGGTCTGTAAACTGATAACAGCAAATTAACACCAAAACTTACACACCACCATCTTTTGCACCTAATATGTATCAAGAATTCAACTATTCGTCATTTTCGCACGAGACTACAGAAGGGGAAGAGATGCATACCACAACAGCAGCATCAACGGCTTCATCTTCGTATTCATTAACACACTCTTCTTTCTCTATATTACCACCTTTGTTGCAGGCTTTCTTCGAGAACAGAAACACAGAAGGACCAAATATCAGATTTGTAATCTTCTCACATGAGCAAACTGAGTAAGCAAGCCAGATAAAAAGTTATCCTTCATTTCATTTTATTTTACTGAAGAACAAATGTACACACCTCGGATAACCATGGAATAATCACATTTTCCAGAGACAAATATCCCACCTTCTCAAAAATGAAAAAAAATAATAAAAAAAATTCAGAACTAAAATAAAAGTAAAAAACAAGAAATAAATAAATATCGATACAATTGATTAATTGTTTTAATAGCTCTGTGAATGTAAAGAGACTTATTATACTGGGTGATTAGGATGGGAAATCCATGGAAGTTTTGCAGAAGGAACCCATGACCATTGAGGAAGATATGAATTGAATTTCCTCCAT